CCACAGCACCACCCCCACCCACACACACACACACCACACCCACACCCACACCACCACACACCACACCCCACAACACACACCACCCACCTACACACACACACACACACACACACACACACACAACACACACACACACAACACACACACACACACACACACACACACACACACACACACACACACACACACACACACACACACACACACACACACACACACACACACTGGTGGGTAGAAAGAGCCATACATGGAGGTCTACACATGGTTCAAACCAACCCTGGTGTATTATTCTCCTTCTTTAACACCCACAATGTTCTTCTAGGTTTGCATATTGAGGGTGTGTTTATGTGTGACCGTTAACGTTGTGTGTTCAGGTTTTCGGGGTCTAATGAGGGGCTTGACATAGGGGTGAGATGTGGTCCGAGCACAGAGGTCAGCTGAGCACCAAAGAGATGAAAGAGAGGCAAAACAAGGGCTCAGGTCCAGAGTGGTGGGTGGAGCAGTGGGGGCTTTCTGATTTTGAATCATAACAACACTCTGACATTGGGGGTTATGGCGGTACAAGTCCAAGGGAAAAACTCAACTCAGCAAAGTTTTGTCTCCAGGCTCTCTGATCACACATGGAGCAAAGCTTCATAGATGAGAAAATGAATTGGCTGCAATTGCAACCCTGTCTCCTGCAAAATCAATCCCATTCAGCTAACATAGACTCATGAATATGTTTTGAGGAAAATGTATGTTCTTGTATATAATGTTTTAGCTCTATGAAACCTGATGTACTTTATATGATTCTGTTCTCTTCAAGTTTATATTTTGTTGGTCGAACGCACTTATTGTAAGTCGCTTTGGATAAAAGCGTCAGCTAAATGCAATGTAATGTAATAATGGTTGTACCTTGAAACACTTGGTTAAGGTTGTTTTCTAAGTCTTTGTTATGTTTAAGGAACACAAATAATAGTTTAGCTTAGAATAAGAGAGTTTTATTGTGTTATTAATGTTAGTAATAATACCTCCCTTGGGTATAAGTCCCATGTTTGTTTCACCCATTTATACATCCATCAATACATTCATAAATCCATGCAACCTTAATTCGTCCATCCACCTACCCATCCATCAATCCCTTCATACCATCCAACCAATCACCCACCAATCCAACCATCAATAAATCCATCCATCCAAACATCCATCCCTCCATCCACAAATCTATCCAACCAACCAACCAACAAAACCTCCAAGCCCAACTTCCTCTACACATCCTCAACGTCCTCTTTGAGGCTCACACCTGAATTACTGCGGATTAGTACTGAATTTAGTTTAATTGAGCTCTCCAAAAGGACCACTTTTGTTCTGCTGCATACATTTAGTTTTCTTTATTTTGCCTCGTACTTAGAGATACTGTGTCTGCTGTAATACATCTCCCTTACCCCAATACAGTGCATGTCATTGAGTTTGTGGTGCTCACATTGTTGAACATTTTCTGAAGTGTCCTTCTTATGGCCTGTCCACACGGCAGCGTGCGTTGCTTCAACAGAGACGCTTCCCATTCACTTTGAATGGGGTGACGTCACGCTTTGCCGAACTGCATTGTGGTTCCGTCGCGTCGCTCCATTGCTCACTTCGAAAGTTGAGAAAAGTTCAACTTTTCAAGCGTCGACGGAAGCGCCAGCCAATCAAATCATATGCCAGTACAAGCTCTGGCCAATCAAACCGCGTGCTTGTGTGTCCGGGGCGGGAGATTAATGTGATTGGTTGTTGGTCGCACGCCAGACACGCCACCGGCAAGCTTCAACGCACGCTGCCGTGTGGACGTACCGTTACTGTCGATACCAACAGTTTTTGCCTAACCCTAACCCTCTCTAAAGTGTTATGTGTAAGTTATGGACAGAATTTAAGTAAAAATATATATAAAAATCAACCAACACTATCAACTGAATGTGAAAACCAGCCATACTGCCCCGTACTTCAGGGTTGCGCTGACTGAACCTGAGTTGCTATACAGCCTGTGACTAGGGGTCAGTTTGCTTTGAGTTACCGCACCTTCTCTTTCCAGCAAAGAAGTGTCCTGCAGGCAGTGAGGCTGAAACACCGACAGTAAACACTGGCATAGCAAAGACGTCTAACTATAAACATCATACACAGAGATTGTAAGATGGCAGTGTTATTTTTGATCAAGCGAGTTTCAGAAGTTTGATTAATCCTGCGTATTCTGGGCTTGCTGCTACACTGAAAAAACTGAAACATTGACTTTAATTAAATTATGTCAACAGATTTCACATAACTGCATTAGGTTAGTTGGAAACAATAGTATTATGTGTAGATACAAATGATTAGGCCCAACGTAATATTATTGCTTTCAAATAAAATAATACAGAAATGTAAAATCTGTTGACATAATACATTGAATTAAACTCAACGTTCAATTGTTTTCAGTGTAGATATGTTTTTTAAGATTGAATGAATTTGGGTTGATTTTGAACTCTCAGTAGACTTTCACTTTCACTTTTCTTCAAGACAGTGACACTAGGGCAAAGTAAACCTTCTTTCTGAAGTCACATATTGATATTGGTGAAAATAAACTACCTTTTTAATGTTAGTCTGGGCTCCACCACCATTACCCATGTGGCTCTTCACTCCTCTCACTGTTATCTCTTTGATATGACTCTCCCCAAACAGGCAACCAGTAAATGTGGTTCGCAAAGTCTCATACCCTCGCACACACAATTAAGACATCAGGAGCCTATCAGATTTGCCGGAGTTGTCAGGGTTACAGTGAGGACATGTAAACAGAATTGGAGGAGAATTATGTAACACAACAGGGAGGTTGTGGATTATTCTATTTAAAGAAACAGATAGGGATTACTCAGAGCTTCCCTTTGATGTCACATGAAGGACATTTGTATGCATTCGTACATCTGGAAGATATACGTGTACATCATTGAGAACTCGTAGAGGAGTTGCATTCCCAGAGACCTCCAGTACACTTTAATTATAGTACGTCAAGCCTTTCCCGTTAATGTTTTCCAGCAGAGAGCCCACATGAGTAGGTGGCAGTATCTGAATGAATGCTGAGTCAGCGCAGACATTAATAATGTATGTCTGGGCCCCAAGGAGTTCAAGTGGCCCCTGAAGAGACTGTTGGCTCTGCTCATTATAAAGTTGAACAGGGCAACTTTTCCGCAAATTAGACAGCAGCATCAAGTGGTGTGACACATAATGAAGCGAGGAGAAAAACAGTTTGAGAGTTTGCGAGGGTATTCTTGTTGACTAATTGCTTTGATTATGTCAATTTGGATACTTAAATCTTCCTGTGAGAGGTTGCTGAAAGCACTTTGCATGAATGGTCCAACGTCTTATTACATCTTTACAGAGAGAGTGTGTACTAAGAAGTATTTTCATCCCCCTGTTTCCTAAACTCTCTATGGTCGACCTTGCTTTCATGCCTGGCTTCAGTTCAGTTGTTGGGTCAGTGCCTTCTGGGGATGGTAGTAGTGAGGCGTGTGATGGAGTGGAAGGAGACCTATCCTCTTCTCTCCGTCATTTATCTGAAGCTGGAAAGAGCTTTAATGTAGATATCAATCAATGTTTATTTATATAGCCCAATATCACAAATGTTACATTTGTCTCAGTGGACTTTACAGTTTGTACAGAATATCAACACGACACCCTCTGTCCTTAGACCCTCACATCGTACAAGGAAAAACTTCCAAAGAAACCCCACAGTTTAAAGGGAACATGGGAGAAACCTCAGGGAGAGCAACAGATCCCTCTCCCAGGACGGACAGACGTGCAATAGATGCCGTGTGTAAAAGATAAAGTTTAAGCAAGGGCTCTCAGAAAATGACTGGGGCCTCTGGGTTCTTCTGCACTTTTGATGGACTTTGGAGCGAGACTAGAAGGGTTTACTTTTAAAATGCAATCTCTTAATTACTAGTTACATGTAAAGAAAGATTATCTCAATACCAAATCCAATGCAAATCAATTAAGGCGAATAACATATCAATTTAATTCTTGTACTTACGATACGATAATACTTTATTAGTCAGATCAAGTCTGAAATGTCACTTGCATCACAGCAGCTGTCATGGTTTTGGATTTATGTTTTCATTTTCCACCTTTTATTTTGAAATGTTTTCCTTCTTGTGTCGTGTCTGGTCCTACTTTAATTATCTCAAAGGGTCTGAATATCTCTGAGGTTGTGGTGACTGATGTTGCACTCTATGATCATTCCTGTGTTTTCTTTGAGAGCTCTATTTCTGTTCACAAAAATGTCCAAAAAGAGGTAACCACAAAGCGATATTTAACTGAAAATGCTTGGGAAATGTTTACTCAGAATTTCTCTTCCACACTTGCCCCTGCTAACATCTCAGTAAATGAGCTAGTAGATCATTTTAATTCAAAAATTAAAATTGTTATAGATACCAATGCTCCAACTAAGGTAAAGGAAGTGACTGGGAAGAAAATATCTCCATGGAGAAAGGCCATGACCGTGAGAACAGAAAAAAGAGAATGTCGAAAAGCTGAACATTGGTGGCGAAAAACAAATCTCCAGGTTCACTTTGAAATCTATAAAGAGAGACTTGGCCTTTATAATTTGGAATTGAAAAACGCACGACATTCTTTCTTCTCTGATATCATTACCAAAAACAAAAACAACGCACGTGCCTTGTTTGCTACCGTCGACAGACTAACAAACCCCCGAGTGTCAGTAGCCTCTGAATTTCTATCCACCAGGGCGTGCAATGATTTTGCCTTTTTCACTGACAAAATTCAGAAAATCAGACAAGCAGTCAGTGCCTCTGCATCAGGAACAGCTAATGTGTTGTCTCTGTGTCCACTTAACATCAATTCAGACATCATGACACAATTCCTTCAGATTAATGATAAAAACCTAGAG